CCAGAGAGGAATTTCCAAAAACTGTCTTGGAACTTTCAAGAGTATCTTACAACACATCTTTCCTGAAAATTTCATGTAATTCTATCCAGTAGTTGTCGAGAAATCGTGTCAGAAAAATAATAATAATAATAATAATAAGAAACAGAGCAATAACTATAAGGTCTTCCGTGAAGACGGAAGACCTTAACAAGATACCATTTATTATACGTGCTTCTGTACCTCTTTTAGTCAGCAGCGAATGGGCTTTTCTATACAATAGCTTTACCAGGTTTCTTATCAAGTACGCTTCTGTTGGGAATCAGAAGTAAAAAATCGTACAGACAATATAACAAATTATGCAAAGATTTTACAAACGAATTTCTAAATCGTTCATACGATATGAAAAATCGTACAAACAAATTTTTAAATCGTTCAAACGATTATAATATATCTTACAAACGGTCTTTTAAAAGAAATTCTATATCGTTAAAATGGCACGAATACGCCGTCGTAGTTTTCTCACACCGTTATCCTGAATTTATCAGTTGCATTCATAGGACTATATTTATATTTTCAAATAATTATCCTTCTATTTTTTTTTTTTTTTTTTTTTTTTTTTTTGCAATATGAAGACTGTTTATTTTCCCCCAGGAACTGCCAGAGATGAGCATGAATAAACTATAGGGTAATTGAACTTAAATTGGTGAATATTAGCAAATAATTTTGGAGTAATTTATTTTAGCGGACGCATGGTTTCAGTTTTTGCAGATGGACACTTAAAAGAGAACGGGCTATTTTGGCGATTAAAATTTTAACGGACTATTTTATCAAAACGCCAAAATTAGCATCCCGCTAAAATAACCTGCTATATGGTATTACTATTTTTTTTTATCTAAACGGAGGGATATTTTTTATAACAAATTTAAAATCACAGGATAAAAATAAACATTGCTGGTATGTAGCGGTTGCAAAAAAAGAATCAGGAACGTGGGTGTCATGAACTTTAACAAATTATCATATTCAAAATGCAGCAGAAATCAAATGTGTAATATATATTTGTGTATATATGTGTAATATGACATGCTGTTCTTATTTGTATCTAATTATAATTTGATCGATTGACTGTACACTAGACAAAATTGCTAACGCAACACTTGTTAATTCTTATTTGTGATTTGAACATTTGCCGAATTGGTACTAGCGTACATTATATGTCATTGATTCTAAAGGAGGGATTGTCAAACATATGTCAAATGTCTTGGTATCATGAACAGAGCCTTGAATAATCTCCTCGTCCGAAAACCTTGATCACTAAAGGTGGTCTGTGGGGTAGCCACAGGAGTAGTCCCTCATTTATTATTCAAATAACAAACACATATCGCCTAGTAATCGTCTGGCGCCTTATAATACCCCATTCATACGACATGATTTGCATACCTCAGTATATTTAACTCATATGTAAATTTACTCACATGTGCAATTTTTGTCGTATGAATTGAGTCGCTCATATGTAAATTCTGCACAGTTGAGTAAATTTACACCTGGTCAGGACTAGGTGCAAATTAACTTTTGCATACATGTTGTCGCAAATTATTACTTCTTGTGAGTAAATTTTGTCGTATGAACACGCAGCAAATTTACTTATGTATGTATTTTGTTTTGTTTATTGCATAAATTAATTTACATTTTAAATGTTGTTTCGTTTGTTTATGCATTATAAAGTGCATAATATCAGCCTGTTAACATGGCTGCTAGAAAGCAAAAGAAACAAATGGATTTTTTATGACCATCTTTGCTGTACATGTTCTTCAAGGACAGCTGAAAGTAAAAACTTTGAGTTTTGATAAGGGTACTGCTTTTAAGACTTTAAAGGATACACCGGGAAGTACTAGCAAAGATCTTTCAACAAATGACTTTTTCAACTCTGAAAACGATGATCCACAGTACATCTCCAGTCTCCCCTGAGATTAATTTGAATTTGCAAAAACGTGTGCATCTTGCACCCTTTCTGGCAAACCTATGATTATGCCTCTAAATTATAAAAATATAGCTGTGGTCTCGCAAACATGTGTCCTGCAGGATCAATAAGAAGTCTCCTTACTATTCAAGTACAGTACTGAGTAGTCTTCATGGGAATCCTCCGGAGATGTGATAGGTATAGGCATTGCATCAATCGGGCCGACCCCATTACAGATTGACTTTCTTCTACCTTTCTTTGATTTTAAACCAAGGTAAGCTACTGACATATAAATTGATGTTACAGGATTTTCAACAACACTGTTGAAAATCAGCATTTTTAAGTATTCCATGATTCATGGGGATTAGTATTTATTTCTAATACACATACTGCAGTATTTGTTTTAATTTTTTTAAATCGATTGTCCATTTCATACACCTGGAAAAGATATGTAACATTCAAGCAGATTCTTTATAATGAACTCTCAAACTTGATGTACTGTGGATTTCCAAACACCCAAAAAATTGTTCTGCTGAAGACGCCAACCAGTAGTCAGCCATCTTTTTTAAACACCCAACGGCTCTATAGTCTTAAGGACCGAGACCAAAGCATTATCCAACTTTAAACAATGATTTTAATTAATAATCCTTTTTTCCTGTTTAAACTTTTCCTAAAAGCTCGCTTTTATCCGTACCAAAAAATAAATATATAGGATTACCCTCTAGTTTCTTTGAGGAACATTCAAAAGTTAGTCTTATATCGAAATAGTAAAAAAATAACCTTTTTTCTATAAAAATCCACAATTCTGAATCTGTGGATCTTATTTTATAGGAAAATACAAGGATTTACTTACAGTACATAAATCTCGTCTGAACGCAAAGCAAATTAACTTTTACTTACGTGTGTATATTTACGCATACGTAAATTTGCACACATAAGCAAATTTTCGCCGTATGAATGAGGTATTAGTGTCCATACCATATCCACTTAACCTCCGTTTGACCTATTTTTGTGGAACAATTTTCAGCTTATTGTATGTTGCTTACATGTACTGAAAGCCCTAACTACATGTGATGTCCTGTGTTATAGATTAAGGTTAGACATGTCCTGTGTTATAGATGAAGTTCTGTTGGAGCTGTGACATAGTATGATGTCCTGTGTTATAGATTAAGATTAGACATGATGTGCTGTACCGCGGGGTACAGTATACACTCTGCACTCTGGGCGTGGTACAAGTTCTGTAGGAGCTGTTACATTGTTTGATGTGTTATAGATTAAGATTAGTCATGATGTGCTGTACCGCGGGGTACAGTATACACTCTGCACTCTGGGCGTGGTACAAGTTCTGTAGGAGCTGTGACATTGTTTGATGTGTTATAGATTAAGATTAGTCATGATGTGCTGTACCGCGGGGTACAGTATACACTCTGCACTCTGTGCATGGTAGAAGTTCGGTAGGAGCTGTGACATTGTTTAATGTGTTATAGATTAAGATTAGTCATGATGTGCTGTACCGCGGGGTACAGTATACACTCTGCACTCTGTGCATGGTAGAAGTTCTGTAGGAGCTGTGACATTGTTTGATGTGTTATAGATTAAGATTAGTCATGATGTGCTGTACCGCGGGGTACAGTATACACTCTGCACATGGTAGAAGTTCTGTAGGAGCTGTGACATTGTTTGATGTGTTATAGATTAAGATTAGTCATGATGTGCTGTACCGCGGGGTACAGTATACACTCTGCACTCTGTGCATGGTAGAAGTTCTGTAGGAGCTGTGACATTGTTTGATGTGTTATAGATTAAGATTAGTCATGATGTGCTGTACCGCGGGGTACAGTATACACTCTGCACATGGTAGAAGTTCTGTAGGAGCTGTGACATTGTTTGATGTGTTATAGATTAAGATTAGTCATGATGTGCTGTACCGCGGGGTACAGTATACACTCTGCACTCTGTGCATGGTAGAAGTTCTGTAGGAGCTGTGACATTGTTTGATGTGTTATAGATTAAGATTAGTCATAATATGTTGTACCGCGGGGTACAGTATACACTCTGCAAGCTTGGAATGGTAGACGTTCTGTGGACACAGCCATGTAAGCTGGGGTCTGGGGGTTGTTCCCTGACCGGTTCCATGTGTTAATATTGCACAGGATGAGGTCGACAATAGCTAGACTGAATACGGATAAACTATTTTTGTAAATATTATAAGATACAGGAGTTTTAAACAGTTTAATACCTTCGCACAATTAAAACGCCCAATTTTACACCACTAAAGAAACCAACCTATGATATATGTAATCTTTTAAAGAAATAATATTTGACTTCTTGTACTAATGGCCGTAACGAAAAATTATTTCCCTGCAGATGTAAAATAACATTTTATAGAAATATTTAATATTTTAAGTACAATACCCCTTTGAATACAAAACCCACTTTGTTTGATTTATGACTGCGTGAATCTTCCTCAACAACAAACTAATCTATAGTTCTATCGTATTTGAAGTTTTTCTGTTTATGCACATTAAACTCGTTAAACAGCCTACAAAAGAAAAAAACCCACCTGATTAAGTATGAATAGCTCTATTTTATCTTATACGTTATGCTGTCTCTGGTTGACTAGCTCATATTTGTGATTTTTTTCTGTGTGCAGTGCTGAATTGAATATATTCTAACCTCAAAAAGAATTTAAATCTATTTTAATCTTACGGTAGTAATTGCGTGACTGTTTACGTGATGAGACGGGCCTTTCAAATGGCAGAGAAGGCTTATAAGTAGCTAGAATAACTATCTGATCAAGAACATGGACCTTTAATGTAATCTTTTGAGAATACCTGCATATTTTTCACTGTTATAGGTAAGTCAAAATACATTTGATTTTGTTTTCAATATGTACGAAATGAATAATTCTTAAAAAAAAAACCATTCCTAGTTTTAAGCTGTAGAACAGCACTGGTAGTCTGCTAAGGGGTTTTATGTTCAATGAGTACTAGTATCAGTAATATACAGCCATTGAAATTTCATTAACACATTTGCTTTTTTTCAGATCATACTACCCTTTATAATGAGTTCTAATATAGTCACAGAGCAACACTACATTGAGTGTGCCACATGTAACAACTACTCCACATTTTACTGCAATACCTGTCACAAGCGAATGTGTGAACAGTGCAAAGAGGGTCATATCCTTGAAAACGAAAATATAAATCACCAGGTAGTCCAATATCAGGATAGGTTGAGACAATTACCTAAAGAAAAATGTCTTTTTCATCCTGCAAAATTTTTAGAGATGTTCTGTGATGAATGTCCAGTCCCTATTTGTTCACAATGCTTCACCAACAAAGATCATGATGGTCATCAGATATCCGACCTTGAAGTTGTTTATAATGAATGTCTACAGCAATGCCAGAAAGAACTGGTCAACATTCGAGATACCATTATTCCTCAATGTGAAGAGGAAATTAAGTCACAAGAGAAAAGTAAAGAAAATGTCAAGAAGAAAACTGCTGAAATACGAATATTGATGAATCAGAGAGCTGACGAAATTAAGAGAGCAGTGAACGCTGTTCTTGTTGATAACAATGCCAAATTGGACATTACGGAGGCGTCAATTCTGGGTGAGATAGTAAAGCAACAGAAAAAAGAAGAAGACTATATCTCATACCTGAACAAATTGATTAAGGACCGTTATAGTGAACTGTCTTCATGCAAAATAACCGAAGTTATCAGGTACAACAAAAAGAATGAAAACGTTATTCTCGTGAGATTTCCGGAAATAATTGAACCTGGGCTTCCAAGATTTGAAGAGAGTGGGGATATTGCGAAAGAACTAGAACAAATGTTTGGTCATATAAAACCATTTGCAGAAGGGAAAGTTTTGAGAGAAGTTAAAAACATCAAGAAATCTTTGCAACAATTCAACTCCAAATCAGCTCAAAAGCTAAGTATGGAGCGTTGCTCCTCTTTAACCAAGACACAGTCATTTACAATACCTGGACTCAATGACCTGTCTCATTTATCACCAGCTGTTCCATCAGGCATATATTGGGCAAGTGGTGATGATGGAAATATCATTCAATTTGACTTGCAGGGAAATATTCTTCAAAAGGTATCCACAGGAAATCAGAGAAAGGGATACCACTCGATCACAAAAGAAGACAATTTGCTTTATGCAGATAATGAAAATAGAGCCATATACAGAAGAAACAGGGATATGACCACCACAACACTTGTTACCACAGAAGATTGGAAGCCTTGGTCAATCTTCTCTTCTCCGATCAATGGAGACATACTAGTTGGGATGAAAAAAGAAGAGAAATGGAAAATAACCAGGTATACCAGCAATGGCATGAAGTTAAAGGACATCCAGAAAAATAATAAGAGGGAGGACTTATATTCAAGTGTAAGCTATATCACAGAAAACATCAATGGTGACATTTGTACATCAGATTATGATGATGGAAAAGTTCAGGTTGTAACCAGATCAGGAGAATATCGTTTCTCCTATCGCGGTCATTTTCTGTTGTTATTTTTTTCCCCGTCTGCAATTTGCACAGATGTTCTTGGAAATATCTTGGTGTGTGGTTCTTGTAGACCATGGCATCCATTTGTTGAACATGGTATCCATTTGCTGAACCAGGACGGAAAACTTCTGACTGTTCTGCTCAAATCGACTTTACGTTCAGAAGAGATGTGCGCTCTCTGTGTTGATGAACAAAACAATCTGATTGTAGGAAGAGAAAACAGTCCTACAATCTGTGTTTACAAGTATCTCAAAGGCAAACGCACGTAGCGAAAAAAAGCAGAAGACTATGTCTGTGGGGTGCAACTGGGCACCTTTATAGACCATTTCATACCACTGATCTGTTTTGTACCCGATTACCATAGCATACTTTCACAATACCTGTAAAATTGATGACATGAATCTCCGCAGGGATGAAATTCCTCCTTGAATTGAAAGACAGAAGAAAACTTTTTTTTTAAGCATATTCCTACAAAAAAGGGTTTCTTTTTAGCTCTACTGGTCAGAGATGATAAGAGTTAATGCGATAGTAAGGTGTCCATCGTCCGTCCATCTAGTTGTCCTGTAGAATGCTACTTCTTCTACAGTTTTGGTTCAATTTAATTTGGTACACAAGTAGTCTACTCTAAGATACTAGTACATAATTCTATCAATAGCTGCTTGTTGCAAACTTTAAAATCCAAGTGCCACTTTTTCCTTGTTAAATGACTGTATACCTACAGACCAGTACCTCTCAATTTTCAAAAATCGGAGTCAGTTGATCATATAAAAGTCAGCTCCAATCAATATTTTATACTGAATCACTAGGAGTAAAATAAAACAATCCCTCATAATTAGAGTGGAAATCTCTATAAAACTATCAGAAGAAAATATTAAGTATATAATTATATGAACGAATGTAGCCATTGAAACATCGCAGTACGCACTATTACACCTTAAGATGCTTTTTTTCCTTTGTCACGTCCATGTTTTAATAAAATTTATTACATACAGTGTAAATGTGTTGAAAATGTAAACTGTATACACATGTACATGATGTTCTATGGCCGTGTTTAAAATGTTGTATATTTTTTATAGAATGATATCATGTTGATGAATGTTTGTCTTTTTACTCACTTAAAAATAAAAGTACTTCTTTAAAATGTTTACTTACTGTAAATCATTCCGCAGGTTTCCCGAGGCAGCAAAATGCATTTATCCGTGCCAGTAATCATTTTCAAATTTTATCAATAAGATATGTGTCTCTTTTTTGAACGATGTTGTTGTGCAACTGTATTCATCCAGTAGTTAGCTTTAAAAACATTGATTACTAGCTTAAGGTTTGCTAAACATTAGAAATCGTGGTAAAGAGTTTACATTATAGTGTAACAATAAATACACAAGCACAATTTTTTTCATATATTCTACACTCTGATGAAATTATAAGAATATTAGTATATTTGACGTCAACATCCATAATATGTTTTAGTTATACGTATGTTAACTTTCCTTCAAACTGCGTATGGTAGATTCATCGTAAGTATTGAATATTGTTTTACATGCATTTTTATAACTCTGCACATTGAAGCATGCAGTTTAATATATATACATTATTATTTTGCGATAAATATACCATCTCTACAATACAAACTTTTTTGCAAAGCTATAAAAAAATTTGACAGCCATTAAACAAATTCTGGCAGTCCTGAAATGTAAAAAAAAAAACCCACCCACATGCCAGAAAGTGAAAGGAAATTCAACATTATATCCTTAAATTATTGAAAGGGGAGAGGCATACTATCTGAAACATTGTTATCAGAAAAATACTTGTCACACACCCTTTCCCTTCGTTTAATTTACACGTTTGTTATTTACAAAATAGTTGCATTTTAGGTACAATCTTTTTTTATAAAACTTTGAAGTTGTGTAGGACGTATGCTTTTTTTCCCGACCTACAGTATACAATGCAAAAACAAAAGTGAAAAAAGACTTATGAATCAAAAAGATTGTGCCCTTTATGTGATCTGATATTATGATGAAGATATAAATTTGTAGAAAAAAGATGTTATGTTTGAGGATATTTTCTTTTTTATTTTTGGACAAGAAAATAAAGCCACTTGAAAAAAAAAAATAAAAGATGCAGCCGTTCCCCTCAACAGCAACTACATTGTATTTACCGAAGCGCAAAGTTAAAACAGACAAACAGAGAGAACAAATACACAATATCACTGGAATATTTCCATACAGGGGCATAATAAAACAAAAAAAAGATTCCTTACAGTTTTTCAATTACAAGGGTTAGTAACTGTAGGAAAATGGAATATTTTTTGCACATGTGTAAATCGCCGACCATGGAAACACACAAAACATGCTTGTACTTTAGATTTCAGGGTCTATAATTTTAAATATTGTAGTCTAAAGTAGAATGAATTTTAAAATGTGTTTTACATACTCCATTTTGCAATTGTTTTGCCATGTTTTGCACACTGAATACAATACGAATTTCTCCGTTTTCATGCTCATGCACACGGATGTTGTAACTAGTAATGATGAGAGGTACATGCCTCTCACATGAAAAATACCTGTTCCGTCCTGTGATGTTTTAGAGGGTCGTGTTTGCTCTGTTCTGGATAGGTATTGTAGCAATTGACTTTTGAGTTTGATAACAGTTCATTTTTATCTAATAGGTGACCTGTACTTGTTTTAGACGCTTTAGAAGCTACTTTTCGCAACAAAATTATATCGATCGATGTCAAGCAGATAAAAACTACTGTCATGAGACAGATATATACACGCACTAAGGTGTATGACTCTAAATTCACACTCCTTCATATTTTTTTTACCAAGGAGAAAGTAAAAAAAAATATAATTTACACTATACATAATTATGTATAATTATGTATTCGTCAAATCGAGCATAATAAACTCAAGTGATCATGTGACCATGAGCCTCTTTTCGGTAGTTCACAATTTAAATAAATTACCAGCTGCAGTGTAAAACAACAGAATTTAGTTAATGGTGTAAAAAAAATTCTCCTTAAAATGGGGATTTAAATATTTGGCCCATAATTGGGGCCTTTTAAATTAATTTCTCAACAAAAATTATATTATTTAAATTAGTTTAAAGTATGGACGCCCAACGGTGCAAACCAAAAATACGAGGGGTGATCAAAAAGTTGGCGGGTTCGAATCCCATTGACGTGGAGACTGTTCCTAGCTTCGGGTGAAACCATATCGCAGTAGGTGCTTACACGAAACAAAGATCTATCCCTGCTCAATGACCCTCAGTGCCGAGTATATGGTAAAAATTTCAGCTCTCCAACGGCAATTGGTGGAGGGTCCATATTAGTGAAAAAAATTCTTGAGAGGGACGTTAAACAATATTCAATCAATGGATCACGCAGCATTATTGGGCTTCAAATAGGGGGCGTGCCTAATTCATACGGGAAAAGTTTACTGTTACGTCACACAAAAATAAAACTTTTATGTATTCCTCATAATACCAGATAATGAAATAATTCGCAATTTAAATTTTAACTGTATTAGCATAACAAACAACAATAAGACTTATCAATGCATTAAAAAACTTGCTAGATAAATTCCCATGTACATGTAGCTGGTTATACATGTAAACAATGCACTGATTGCTATGAACTTAATTATATATTGTAAACATGGCGTCATTTTGGTAAAAAAGGGCGTATTTCATGTGCTGTGAGATGCAAATTTGGGGAATTTTTTTAACAATGAAGAATGCGTTTTTTTATTGAACGGAATATAATTTACACGTTTTGAATAGTCGATTAATACCAATGTACACCATTTGTTTAGTGCGATTACTGAATAATATCAACAGAATGTATTTTATCAATTATGTCTTGTTTTTATGTTCGGGTTACATATATTTTACAAAGAGATACCTCATAAAATCGTACTTTCATAAGGGCATACACTAAATTGGTCTTAACCATTTTTTGAATATAAATAAAGTATAACTTGATTAGTGCTGCTGTTTTCTATAAATCGAAAGCGTGATATCATATAAGTAGATTTCTCATAGAAGGCCTTTACAGTGCTGTGCAATCAATTATTACATTAAATCGAATTTACACTTGTAAACATACAATGACGCAATGACGTAATTTTTAATGTTCATGCTTCACCGTGGAGTTTTGGAGTTACTAACTGAACTGAAAGTAATATTACTGGTGTCATTTAGTTCCCAATCCTGTCAGTTTCCTTGCTCGTCGTTTTAAATTTATGATTTTCCATCATACTAATTTGAATGATTTTATGCGGGAAAAATAATTATTCATGATGTATGTATCACCAAAAAATGTGTCCGAAATTTGTACTCAGTTTTTAAATCATTGTTTAACATATGATTGGAAATCCATTTTCATTTTATCATATATGTATTCAAGGTTTTATATAGCCAGCATGTTTATTTCGTTTTAAGGAGACAAGTTTCAACCAAACCTTTTTATCCAAAATCACGAATATAAAAATAAATCAGTAAAACACATAAAGTAAAAGACTAAATCTAGTTTGAATTTGTAAAATTTTTGGCATATACAGTTAAATTGTTCAAAATGTTCAAAAAGTAATACTAGTAAAATTTTTTATACATTTAGGGGTCTCGATTGGGTTGCTCAAAACACTGGTTAGCGTTAACCACTGGTTAAATCTCTTATCCAGCGGTTAAGTTTTAATCATTGGCTAAATTCTGTTGCTCAAAATTGATTCACTGGTTAACTTTGCTATCCAGTGGTAAAATATTGGCTACAGTTAGCCATTCTACAGAGGTGGGTTAACTCACTTAACCAATGGATAATTATGACTAACAAGTTTTCATTTGTTGTAATTTTGGGGGAATAACAAAAGGTAAGAATTTTTAACATGTTATAGAGTTTATAATTTCATATTTATGAAATGTGGTATTTGAATCACTTATACAATATAGCCAAGTTCAAAAACATACACAAATCCATGCATTTGCATGATATTTTAATGTAGAATGTAGTACGTATACATAAATTAAGAATATTTTTTAACATTATTTTTCATGCAATAAGACTGTTGAATCCCCTGAAAAACCCCACTTCGCCTATGATATATTGAGACCACTAGGGTTCCACTTTAGGTGATAGATGTTCAGTAGGAGCTGGGACACGCTCATGTAAGCTGGGGTCTGTGGCTGCCCCCTGACGGGGTCCATGTGTTGTATGGTGTTGGCGCTGATGTCGTACAGGGGGAAAGGGGATGATAAAGAATGTGGCTCCAGATCAGAC